AAAAAGGTCTCCTGTCTTAAGATCTCCTGGACTTGGAAAAAGGTCTCCTGTCTTAAGATCTGGACTTGAAAAAAAGGTCTCCTGTCTTAAGATCTCCTGGACTTGGAAAAAGGTTTCCTGTCTTAAGATCTCCTGGACTTGGAAAAAGGTCTCCTGTCTTAAGATCTCCTGGAACCAACGGCGGCCAACTTTTTTTTTTTATGTTTAATTTTCCATACTGATCAGGGGGAAGGTGTTCCCCTGACACCGTTGTTGTTGCTGATACTGTCGTGCTGATGCTGCTACTGTTACCACTGATACATCTACTGATGATGCTGTTGCTACCGCTGATATTGCTACTATAAATATACAGAAGCAGCTTGTACTGTGAAGATATTTGGTCGAGTATTAAGGTTGATCGAGTGGTACACCTGTGACTGTTTTACACAACTTTCCTACACTCGGGGACAGGCCTGGGGACGCCTTTTTCTGTTGACTGCCTATCCAACTAGACTGTTATTGGCGGGGGGGGGGGGGCGCTGGCACACGCACCCATCACAGTCTGGTTGATCCTGCACTTTGCAGAGACAGTGATCTAGTTCAGTTGAACACTTGTACACTTGTTCCAGCAACATGTCTGCTGGCAGCAGAATGAAGACTCTTGCACCATAGATATAACTTTACCTTTGATAAGTTCCAGGAGTTTTTCTACTCCTGAAGCCCGGCCATGGGCCAGCCTCGTCTGGTGCTTATCTTGTCAACCAGGCTGTTGCTGCTGGTGGGCCGCTGATCCACATATTTATCAGAACCCGTGGCCTGGTGGCTAAAGCTCTCGCCTCACACGGCGAGTGTCTGGGTTCGATTCCCAGCGAGGGTAGAAACATTGGGCGTGCTTCTTTAAACTGGTTGTCTATGTTCCCCATCAATAAAATGGGTACCTGGGTATTAGTGGACTGGTGTGGGTCGCATCCTGGGACAAAACTGACCTAATTTGCCTGAAATGCTCTGCATAAAAAGCGGTTTTCTATATAGTATTATGTCACTGATGTCAGCTAGGACTGATAACCTTGTACAGGTCAGCTAGGACTGATAACCTTGTACATGTACTTGTAGAAATAGATATTATATTAACCTGGTTGATCTGGCACCTGGTGAAAATACTTATCCAGTTTCCTCTTCAAGACTTCTATACTTGTCCCAGAAGTGTTTGATATTTTCTCGTAAAATACTGAATAGTCTGGGGCTACGGACGTTGATATAGTGCTCCCTTATTGTGCCCACTGCACCCCTGCTTTCACTGGCTTTATCATGCACTTCCTCTCTCTCTAGTGCATCCAAGACCATGTTATAATAGTGTAGCAACTGTGAAAGTCAGAGACTGGCTTGCTCTAAAACCGTACTGTCTTGGCTTGTGTAAAGGATGTGATTACATGTGATTGGCAGTTTTGCTTTTCAAGACCCATTGAAGGATTCTGTGTTACGTTATCACTATCGGTCGATAAACTTTTGGAATTGCTTAAGTGCCGCCTGTGTGGAGTGGAGCTGCATCAGTGGTTTTTAATGACTCTGGGATACTCCTGTGTCCTGGATCATTCTACACAGAAAATTCAGGGCATATGATAGTGCTTTCTAGCATGTAAGGGAGAAAGTGAAATTCTACGAGTCTGGGTCTGACGACAGACAGACTGAACATAACAACAGTGACGTCTACGACGTCACTGTTGCAATTGGTTATGTCAGAAATTGTAGAGGTGTCAGCAGCGTTCAGTGTCTAACTCGAGAAAAACTCAGATCACTAAGCTTTATTGTGACTCCAGTGTTTCACGTACTTCACTGGTGTAAGTTCCATAACAGTTAAACAAGAGTTCGATTATGTTTTCAACCTGGATTTTGAAAAACAGTATTTGGGATTTATAATTTCATTAATGGCTCTTTGTTCCCTCTGTCTTTCCTGAACTCGACGCAACCACTACTAGTACGTTGACAACCACCACTAGTAACGTTAAGTCAAATGTCTGAGACCTGGGAGTAGCAATGTTAGATCTCATGTTCAAAACAAGAGATGCTAAGCCAATGATGACACTCGTCAGGTCACGGGTTTTCTCTAGACTGGAATATTGCTGTGTACCAGTGACCTCCTTCAAGGCAAGTGAAACTGAGCTGCAAAATGTGCAGAGAACCTTCACAGCTGGTTTCTTTCTGCCAGAATAAAGGAACTGGCATGCCCACATGTGTTAAAACACTTATGGATGCTACGGCTGGTCAAACCAAATGTTAATCAATGTATAACAGTTGACCTGTATTAGTGTATCAAAATACATCCATTAGCAGTCAGTGAAAATGGTTTAACACTGACGGAGAGAGTTACAAGTTATTGTTATTATTCTTCTATAACAATGTAGGAGATTAATGGAACCGCTTCCTGTTTACCTGTAATATACTCGTAAATAATTACGCAACCTCGCCCTAGACCTGACAATGGGTATCACTAAAGTATCTCAGTACCTATGCAGTCCTTTGCATAATAATTTCAAAAGAATTACATACTGCAATAACTGTCGTAATAGTATAGAAAGCGACGTCATAATTCTGGGACACTGGTAATTAATATATTTTCTTTAATCTTGAAATACCTTTGCAGATCCTTCACATAAGTTCATAATGTGTGCGTTGGTTGACAATAAAACAATCTCTGATGATGAGTTCCGAGAGCTTTTCTTTTGTGGTTATGAGGAATAAGTAATTTGTGTATTAATTTACTCGGGGTTTTGACCGTCAGTGCCCCCTGTCATCCCAGGATAGAACTACTGGTGTTTACCTACTAGCCAGGGTAAGCCAGTAGTGTCACTGCTCCTAACTCTACTCCCGGTAAGTAGCCTTCCAGGTTCATTATTGTATTAAGTTACCTGCTTTGCCTTACGTTTAATCTGGATATTCTTGTGTGTCTGTGTCATAACCTGTGTCCTCTGGTAACGTCTATTTTCTCAGCCAGTACGACTGGAGTCTGGTAGCTCTAATTTACGGACTACGAGGAACTGTCTTCATAGTAAGGCTGTGTTTCTTGACCACAGCTCCACCCCGATCTTAAGTTGAAGCTTCGATACGGATTTCCTGGCCGACTCTACTAGCCCCTATCTCGCCTAATTACGATACTAGCAACACACCCTGAACATTTAACTTGACCAGAGCTTCTTTCCGATCGCAGGCTAATATTATATCAGAATTTTCTCAAAATTTATATCCTTTTCTGATTATTTATTGGTTATATTTTCTTTATTCCTAAAGAAAGGAACTTCCAGAATTCAACACCTTTATGGGTTCCAATCCTCAGAGTGATAAACATAATTAAGTCTTCATGGTAGGTCAACCAGCCTTCCTGTTCTTCTACCCACAGTTACTGTGGGTACAGCCTCGTATATCACTGAAATTATCATGGTTCAAATTCCTCTCCTTCAGTTAAATATTATTGGTCCCAATTCCTCAATGAGCATAATTTTCCCTGTGCTAAAACCAATGCCAGCATCTTACAAGCTGTTGACATCAGCACATGTTGAAACTCGCTACCAAACTAACAGAATTTTTACCTCTACCTCATATTTTACCATTTTTGTGACACACACCACACACACACACACACACACACACACACACACACACACACACTTTACTAACTATTCCAGACATAACTAGCTATCACTCAAACATATAATCTTGTGTATTAAGGATGACTGGTGTTTGGACCTGCAAAACTCCCTAACAAATGTAACGGTAGTTAAGACTACCTACCAACCTACCTGGAGGGTGTTCCTGTGGTCAATGCCCCCGTGACCCGGTCCATGACCAGGCCTCACGTAATGTGTGTCAAAAGTCTGGCCACTCAACAGTGTTCCTGGCCGACTAAGTTTGGGATACTTTTGACACAGTTTATTTATAGAAGCTTCGCCACAAACAGCTCGCTAGATCTAGTACTCTGGGAGGGGATGGTACTCTGGGAGGGGGATGGTACTCTGGGAGGGGGATGGTACTCTGGGAAGGGATGATACTCTGGGAGAAGGATGGTACTCTGGGAGTGGGATGGTACTCTGGGAGGGGGATGGTACTCTGGGAAGGGGATGGTACTCTGGGAAGGGGATGGTACTCTGGGAGTGGGATGGTACTCTGGGAGGGGGATGGTACTCTGGGAGGGGGATGGTGCTCTGGGAGGAGGATGGTACTCTGGGAGTGGGATGGTACTCTGGGAGTGGGATGGTACTCTGGGAGGGGGATGGTAATCTGGGAGGGGGATGGTAATCTGGGAGGGGGATGGTACTCTGGGAGGGGGATGGTAATCTGGGAGGGGGATGGTACTCTGGGAGTGGGATGCTACTCTGGGAGGGGGATGCTACTCTGGGAGGGGGATGCTACTCTGGGAGGGGGATGGTAATCTGGGAGTGGGATGGTAATCTGGGAGTGGGATGGTAATCAGGGAGGGGGATGGTAATCGGGAGGGGGATGGTAATCTGGGAGGGGGATGGTACTCTGGGAGGGGGATGGCACTCTGGGAGTGGGATGGTAATCTGGGAGTGGGATGGTAATCAGGGAGGGGGATGGTAATCTGGGAGGGGGATGGTAATCTGGGAGTGGGATGGTAATCTGGGAGGGGGATGGTACTCTGGGAGGGGGATGGTACTCTGGGAGGGGGATGGTAATCTGGGAGGGGGATGGTACTCTGGGAGTGGGATGGTAATCTGGGAGGGGGATGGTAATCTGGGAGGGGGATGGTACTCTGGGCGGGGGATGGTACTCTGGGCGGGGGATGGTACTCTGGGCGGGGGATGGTACTCTGGGAGTGCACCAAGAAAATACTAGTTACAATTAAATAACTTACAACAAACAACCAGTTAGCAGATGATCAAGCAGGACACCTGGTCCTAGACCAGGCAGTGAGGACAAAGAGCTACCAGTGGTATACAAGCGGTAGTTAGAGGGATACTCACCATAATACTCTCCCAGTGGTATACAAGACGTAGAGGGATACTTACCATAATACTCGCCCTCCTGCTCTTGCTTCTCCATCTCCTCCTCAATCTGCTGTGTCAGGGCCTCCAGCTTCCTCTCCGCCTCGCTCATTCCCTGTAATGATACATATATTATCAATACTGTGTGTACTCACCTACCTAATAGTGGTTGCAGGGGTCGATTCATTGCTCCTAGCCCTGCCCCTTCAAGGGTCGCTACTAGGTCCTCTCTCTCCCTGCTCCATGAGCTTTATCATACCTCGTCTTAAAGCTATGTATGGTTCCTGCCTCCACTACATCACTTGCTAGACTATTCCACTTCCTGACTACTCTATGACTGAAGAAATATTTCCTAACATCCCTTTGACTCATCTGAGTCTTCAACTTCCAAATTTGACCCCTTGTTTCTCCGTCCCCTCTCTGGAACATCCTGTCTTTGTCCACCTTGTCTATTCCACGCAGTATTTTTTGTATGTCGTTATCATGTCTCCCCTATCCCTCCTGTCCTCCAGTGTCGTCAGACTGATTTCTCTTAACCTTTCTTCGTAGAACATTCCCCTTAGCTCTGGAACTAACCTTGTCGAAAACCTTTGCACTTTCTCTAATTTCTTGACGTGCCTGACCCGGTGTGGGTTCCAAACTGGTGCTGCATACTCCAGTATGGGCCTGACGTACACGGTGTACAGTGTCTTGAACGATTCCTTACTAAGGTATCGGAACGCTATTCTCAGGTTTGCCAGGCGCCCATATGCTGCAGCAGTTACCTGGTTGATGTGTGCTTCCGGAGACGTGCTCGGTGTTATACTCACCCCAAGATCTTTCTTCTTGAGCAGGTTTGAAGTCTTTGGCCTTTGAAATCCTGCCTGATCCTCATCTGATTTAATTCTCCTCATTAACTTCACATCTGCAAACAGGGACACTTTTGAGTCTATCCTTCCATCGTGTCATTCACATACACTAAATATAGCACTGGTCGTAGGACCGACCCCTGTGGGACCTCGCTCGTCACAGGTGCCCACTGTGATACCTCATCACGTACTATGACTCGTTACCTCCATTCATTCATTAGAGATTTGCCGGTACTTCCGGCCCGGGTCTTCTCCAGATGGTGACCCGGCGGTTGTTGCCTCCCTGTCAGGTAGTCTCTGATCCACTGCAGTGCCCTTCCTGTTATACGCGCCTGATGCTCTAGCTTCTGCACTAATCTCTTGTGAGGAACTATGTCGAAGGCCTTCTTGCAGTCCAAGAAAATGTAATCAACCCACCCCTCTCTCTCGTATCTTACTTCTGTTACTTTATCATAAAACCCCAGAAGGTTTGTGACACAGCATTTGCCTTCCATGAATCCGTGCTGGTTGTCGTTTATACGTTTGTTCCATTCCAGGTGCTCCACTACTCCCCTCCTGATAATCTTCTCCATGACTTTGCATACTGTATGCCAGTGACACTGGTCTATTCTTTAGTGCCTCTTTTCTGTCTCCCTTTTTAAAAATGGGACCTACATTTGCCGTCTTCCATACTTCAAGTAGTTGCCCAGTTTCAAGGGATGTGTTGAAGATTGTGGTTAGTGGCACACACAGCATTTCTGCTCCCTTTCTAAGGACCCATAAGGAGATGTCCGGTCCCACTGCCTTTGAGGTATCTAGGTCACTTAGCAGCTTCACCACCACCTCAGTTTTGTGTATGTCATCTAACACTTGTTGGTATATTCCTTGTTGGTGTCCCCTCTGTTCTGTCTTCCCAGAGTCCTTCCTCTCTCCACTGTAAATACTTCCATAAATCTCGTGTACTCAGCTAATTGTGCTTGCAGGGGTCGAGACTCAACTCCTGGCCCTGCCTCTTCACTGACACCTACAGCATCGTGTGTGTGTTCACCTAATTGTGGTTGCAGGGGTCGAGACTCAACTCCTGGCCCTGCCTCTTCACTGACACCTACAGCATCGTGTGTGTGTTCACCTAACTGTGGTTGCGGGGATCGTGTCATAGCCCCTGCCCCTTCACTGGTCGCTACTAGGCCCACTCCTTGCTCCGTGAGCTTTATCATACTTCTCCTTAAAGGTATGTATGGCTCCTGCCTCCACCACCTCCCTTTCCTGATAACATTCCTGCGACTCATACGAGTCAAACTTCCAACTGTGACCTGTGTTGCTGTGTCCCATGTCTGAAACATCCTGTCCCTGTCCACCTTGTCGATTCCCCTCAGTATTTTATATGTTATGTCCCCCCTGTTCCTACTGTCCTCCAGTTTCGTCAGGTCGAGTTCCCTTAACCTCTCCTCGTAGGACATGCCCCTTAACTCCGGGACTAGCCTTGTTGCAAACCTTTGCACTTTCTCTAATTTCCTGACGTGCTTGGCCTGGAGTGGGTTCCAAATTGGTGCTGCAAATTCCAGTATGAGCCTGATGTACACAGTGTACAGAGTCCTGAACGACTCCTTACTGAGATGTCAGAATGCTAGTCTTAGATTTGCTAGGCCTGTAACCTGTCCAAATCCCTTTGTAGTCCTGCCTGGTCCTCCTCCGACTGAATTCTTATTAACTTGACATCGTCTGCAAACAGACACACTTCTGAGTCTACTCCTTCCATCATGTCATTCACATATACCACAAACAGCATTAGCCCTATGACCAACCTCTGTGGAATCCCGCTCATCACAGTCGCCCACTCTGACACTTCGTCACCTACTATGACTCGCTGATACGTTCCTGTCAGGTATTCTCTGATCCATTGCACTGCCCTCCTTGTTATACCTGCCTGGTCCTCCAGCTTTTGCACTAATCTCTTGTGTGGAACTGTGTCACAAGCCTTCTTACAGTCCAAGAAAATGTAATCTACCCATCCTTCTCTCTCTTGTATTACTGCTGTCAGTTTGTCATAGAACACAGGATTTCCCATCCCTGAATCCATGCTGGTTGTTAAGCACGTTCCTGTCTAGGTGCTCCACTATTCTTCTCCTGATAATCTTGCATACTATGCATGTCAGTGATACTGATCTGTAGTTTAGTGCTGCATGTCTGTCTCCTTTTTTAAAAATTGGGAGTGCCTCTGCTCCCTCTCTTAGGACCCATGGAGAGATGTTATCCAGTCTCATCGCCTTTGAGGTATCTAGTTCACTTAGGCTCCTCACCTCTTCCTCGGCTGTATATACTGTGTTTAGCACTTGGTGGTGTACCCCACCCGTGGGTGTTTCAGGAGTCCTTTCTGTCTCCACTGTGAATACTTTAAATCTCGGTTGAACTCCTCACACTTCTCAGTCATTTCTTGTGATGCCTCCTCCTTTCCTGAGCCTGATTACCTGGTCCTTGACTGTTGTTTTCCTCCTGATATGACTGTACAACAGCTTTGGATTGGACTCAGCTTTCGCTGCAGTCATTTTTTATTTGTCGCTGGCCTCCCTCCTTACCTGGCATATTCATTTCTGGCTCTTCGACTACTCTCCTTATTCTCCTGGGACCTTTGCCTCCGATACTTCTTCCATTCTTTAGCACATCGTTTTGACCTCTACACCTTTGGGTGAACAAAAGGCTTATTCTGGCCTTCTCATTATTTCTGTTGACCTTGGGTACAAACCTCTCCGCTGCTGCTTTGCATATTGTCACATACTCCAACCTCATGCAAGAAGTTCCTCTCTTGAAGTTTGGCTTCCTCCACTCTGCCCTTCCTGCTTCCCTCTCTACTATTAACTATGTATTCAAAGCTCAGAATCGCGTGATCACTAGCTCAGAGGGGCCTTCATATGTGATGTCCTCAATATCTGCACTACTTAAGGTGAATACTAGGTTCAGTCTTGCTGGCTGGCTCATCTCACTCTCACTCTCACTCTCTCTCTCTCTCTCTCTCCTCTCTCTCTCTCTCTCTCCTCTCTCTCTCTCTCTCTAGTAGTGTCCCTAATGTACTGATCCATGAGGTTTTCCAGTACCGCCTCCATCATCTTTGCCTTTCATGTTTCTGGGCCCCCATGTGGCTTCAGGTTTTCCCAGTCAATTTCTTTGTGCTTGAAGTCACCCACAACCAGTAGCTTTGCTCTGCCCATATGGGCCCTTCTGGCCACTTCAGCTAGTGTCAACCATTGCTCTGATACTCTCATATTCTTGTCTTGGTTTCCTGCTATTTTGTGGCAAGTTATACATCAATGCAATTACTACCTTGGGACCTCCAGACTGAAGTGTTCCAATTATGCAGTCTCTTGCTTCTCATCCGTCTCCTCTCTCCAGCTCCTCAAAATCCCATTGGTTTTTGATAACCAGTGCTGCTCCACCCCCTCCGTTCCCACTCTTTCCTCAAGATTTGATATCCAGTTGGAAAGATGGCATCTGTTATCATTCCTGTGAGCTTGGTTTCTGTGAGAGCTATGATGTCTGGTGATGCCTCTGATTCTTTTGTGCCACTCCTCTCACTTATTCCATCAGTGTTGGTGTGCCATACCTCCATTTTCCTCACCAACACTGTATTCTGGAGGTTTGTGGGGGTGGGGGAGTGGGGGACCTGGCAGGGTGCTGTGGAATTCTACTGCATAATGTGGGGTGGGGGTTGAGTGTGTGGATTGTGGTTTGTATTGGAATAGCGTGTTTGGCTGTGGGGTCCTGAGGGTGGTTGTGTGTTTGTGCTTGTTGCTTTGCCCAGCTCTGGTTGCCCTCTGCTAAACTCTCTTGATGCTTTCAATCTGTTTTTCTTTCTGCTGTCTTTCATTTTGTGTCCTCCCTTCGGTCTCCTGAAGCTCATGAATAAAGACTAACCTCTCCCTCTCCTCCTCCCATTGCCTTTCCCTGTGTCTCTGGATCCTGTTTGTACATAGCCACTGCCTCCCTTATTTCCTGTAACTGTGTGTGTGTGTGGGGGGGGCACTGATTTGTTTGCGGATGGAGGGTCTGTACTTAGCTCCTGGCCACCTCCATTAACATCAATGGCTACTGGCCTTTAGGGCTGTATCATATCTATTCTTGAAGTTGTGGACTAAGTTTGCCTCAACCTCTGCCTCATCCAATTCATTTCACTTTTAAACCACTTTTTAGACTAACGCAGCACCATGTTTCATCCCTATGACTCATCTGTGTCTTCAGCTTCCATCTGTGTTCCCTTGATTCTGGTTCTCTTAACTGAAACAGTCTGCCCCTA